AGCATTCATGTGTAAGGAGTTACTGTTTTGATGTGGGGAGTACAGAATCAGTTTATTAAAATATTAGAGCTTAAATGGACCATAAGGTGACTGAGATCCACATTAGAGATCATCTGATCTAGACCTCATAATCTTAAAAGAGAAAACACAGATTTGGAGAGGTGAAGTGACCTCTGATACGCACAGTCTGTTGATGGCAGTGGCAGGATTAAGAAGCTGAGAAAAGGGACACTCACTCTCAATCCAGTTACTTATGTTAAATATAACTCTGCTCCCATGACCAAAGACAGAAACATCCAATTTTTTACAGCCTGAAATGGAATGGACTTACACATTGCACTCTCTTGTTGGAGACAGAGGAAGAGTTGAAATTCAGACAGTGAAATGTTGGGGAAGGCATTGTGCCTATCCCTGGAGTGGAGGAAACCCCAGAGTCCTTCAGATGACATAGAATGAAAGGAAAAAGGAAACTCAGGAGTCTGGTTGTATGGTAGGAATGTTATTAACCTACACATACTTGCAGAGTATAGGGAGTTGTTTTGCTTTTATTTCTATTAAACATCAAAAGAAAGGAAGACTATGCAGATCATTTTTGCCTATTAAAGACTCTTTATATCCACAGAATGCCTAGTAAGGAGGATTTTAATTAAAGATAGCTCGTTACTGAGCTGGGCTCTGTTCAGGAGTTCAAGAAAGGAGCAAGTGATTTGTTACCAGTGAGTACTCTTACTCTTTCTACTTTGAAAAGTGAAGGCAATGGACTGGACTTTTCCTGCAAAAGCATTAGATCATCCTCTCTAGCTTCCTCCTTTTACTATTCATCTGCAACTGGACAAAGAGTCATAATATTTTTATGCTTTGGGCTGTGGGGAAGAAGGAACAGAAGGAGAAGAGGAGGAGAATGACAAGGATGAAAGAAGATGTGGAGAAGGAAGAGAATAAGAAGGAGAAGGAAGAGGAGGACAAGGAGGAGAAGAATCAATCTTTTCCACGTTTATATTTAAAAACTCAGTATATTCTAGTCCAGGCAACAGCGAGTCCCTGTCTTAAAAAAAAAAAAAAAAAACTCGGTATAGAAAGGAAAAATTGTCTAACAGGGTCATATTTAATAGATTAATTCTACATGAACTTGAAAATTTCGTGAACAAAAATGTTGTAGTGACCAAAATGCAACCATATAATATGCTTTTCTAACTCTTACTATTGCCTTTACATTTTATCCATGAAAAAATAAGGTTGTACATCACTGATATCAATAATTCTATTTTATTTCATATTATTCATTGTTACTTGGATTTAGAGTGCTTTTTGAACATGGAAACCCGTTTACTGCATAATGCAAAATGACTAAAATGTAATTTAGAACACAGGGCAAGGCTAGATTGGAATTTAATACAGATATTATAATGCATGAAATCCTTGAAAGTGTAAATAAATGGAAATAATTTCCTCTTTGTGAAAAGAAAATGCCACGCTACATGTTACCATGGATACTGGATGTTGCTTAGAGTCTGTTCTTTTCTTAGCAGTCAAAGACCACTCAAACATTAAGACCATGCTGTATTCTCAGCATCTTTGTTAGATTTATGAGACAAAACACTTTGATTCAATTAAATCTGGCTGAAAAACACATCTTTGCTTGTTTCTCAAAGGAAGAGATGGTGACACTTGGAGCCATGTCATGTAATAACCCTGACAAAACTGCTACAGCTAGATTTGGGGCCATATGATACAAATGATGTTATTGGAAAATCGCAGTTTTTCCCATGATCTCAGCAAACTTCTGGAAATGCGCATGCTATTTTACTCAGGAAAAATCTATTTAATTATTTCTTAAACAAGGATTCCATGTATGCATTCCTAGTTCAGAATTCTGGGGATTGAGCTATGATTATTAAGTGATTTTTT